TCAGCTTGTAGTAGTCCAAGTAAATTGCTTGAGCTAGAATAAGAAACCATATGAGGAGTATAGTAAAACTTTCAGTATTACGCAGGTTCCAACAAACCATTTTTCTATTTCTTTGAAGCATTTGTACGGGTTTGCTTTTGATATCAAAACATTTTCAGATCTGGCCTAAATAGTACCTAATCAGTTATTCGAAGATGCCGTGTGTGATGTCAGACGCATGCAGTGAGCGTTGAACTTTATACTTACATTTCAAAGACTCTCCAATTTTCTCAGATCTGTTCAAAAGATTCCAGTAGTAATCATTTATGTAGTTAAGTGAAGCAAGTTCTGTGATATTTTGGACCAGCTGTGAGATATTCACACCTTTGTACAGTTTATCGAAGTTTACATTCTTGGTGCTGATCACGTGTGTGAAGTTTACTTCTGATTCAAATACGTTATCACCGGTTTTTATTGCCTAAAAGAACAAATCTATAGCGAACTCTAAGATTTGTTGGAGCTGTTTACATAGCATTCTACATTTGTACATACAAATATAGACTGTTCATCAAATAACACCTGAATCGTTAGTAATACGCAATCTTGTCGAATGTCGTTTCAAAATATTATAGAAAATTGAAAGACGTAGATATTAAGCTGATAAGTAGAGGATACTACACTTTGAAACATGAACCTGACTCAGCGATTACTTCCATATAGAAAGCTCAAACGTCGTTAATATTATGAAATAAACATGCCTTATATGAGTTTAGATATATGCAGATTAGTATACAGAAATGTTTCGAAAATAATTGGTTCTGGATCGCCCCACGCATTCGTAAACGACATAGAACTTAAGTCAGCTTATAGTGGAGTGACCCTAGATTTAAACCTCAGATCCTAGTTCCAAGGGATTAATTTTGCAATTTTTAGTGGAATGCGTTTATTAATAAGTTTATACATTTTTACATTTTTATGTTTATGTCAGCTCATTTGACTTATCTATTTTGCGACCTCGTTACTGAGATACAAAGATTTCAAGTTAATTTCTTTTAATACTAATATTATCAATTTTTATTAAATTTCTTGAGCGATTTAGATAAAAGTCTGTGAATCGACGGTAGGTAACATTTCTAGAGTCGAAAGTACATCCAAGAATATCAAAAAAATCTTACAACAACAAATCATGCAATCATAATCCCTAAATTTTTTCGGCTACCACAGGGATGAGACGTAATAAGAACGAAACATGAATCAGACTGTGATGAAATTGGATTATTCTCGTAATACCATACCAAAGTTTTCCAATTTCAGCGTTCTTATACGGCTTTTCACCAAAAGGAGCAGCCACACAAAAATTTCTCGAATAAATGTCACTTGTAAAACTAAATACCCTTTTTAAAAAGGAAAAAGCTGTTTTAAAAGAGCCAGTGGTGCAGAAAATAATTTATTTCTTTTTGCCTTGCATTTCATTAAGTGGAACGCCCTGTAAGTTACCCTCAATTTATAATTATTTATCAGTAAAAGAGCAATACATGATATAAATATAAGGAAACGGTAATGTTATGCAACCACTTTAGCTTTTTTCCAGAAATTTTTCATGATTTAATGCTACTTACTGATGTTATACTACAATATGAGTCCTGCTTTAAAGGAATACGGCATTTCGCATGCAAATGCAATTTGGCTCTCCAAACTAATTGGAAATTATGACGAAAATGTAGAAATACCCAATATACAGTATTCTACATTTTAAGTATTTTAAGCATAGTTACGTTTAAGTGCTCTCATCGCAACCCTACGTCAGTTTTAGATACATGATACATAATGCATAAATGGTACATCAAACAACTAAATATCAAGTCCAGTCCTGCCTACTGAGTTTTTGTGGATTTCAACTTAATTGTACTGATCTGAAAGATACAACTTAGTGGTGTTGCATATTAAATGTCGTTTCCCTTTTTAAGCAGAACCCGTTGTACAATATGAGTTGGTGGAATTAAATCATTAAAAAACGACCGATAAAAGTAAGTAGGACACAAAACATTAATTTCGCCTTTTATTTACATCATTTATCGCTCTTCTTTCTACGGAATAATGATAAACTCAAAGTATAACTTCAGGGCATTCCACTCAATAAAATGAAAAGAAATAAATAAAAAAATAAGTCCTGCCCTGTAATTTTTTATTCCAAAAAGAAATCTTAAGCTCAATTTTAAGCATCGTTTTGTAAAATGTTGATGAAATTAAGTTAGTAGCGCTTAAAATTTTTGTGCTCTGTGTCACATAAACTGATAAAAATAAGACATAAAAAGAAAAATTTATCCAACAAACCAAAGAGGCGCAGTCAATCTATTCTGCTAATTAATTTAGGCAGCAGCGGTGGCCGCAGTAGTAGACTCTTCGGTCTCCTGATCAGTCGCCGTGCGCTTTGCGGGTTCGAGTCCCGTCCCAGGAGAAATTTTTCTCTTGGCTATGGATGTTGTGATTGTCCGTAGGTGGTAGACGGTCTCTGACTGTCGAACGTGGAGATACCACCCGGCGGATCTCGTAGGCGGAGCCAGAATGTGTGCATGTTGCATGCACACGTGTTCCCTCGCCAGAGTCCGTGTGGCGTTCCCCCTTTCCCCTGTATCCCCCTATAGCCCCACGGTACCCAATGGGTGTTTAGGCCTTAGGCCTTCGTGGTAGTTGGAGTATAAAAAAAATTAACAACATTAATTGGCTTGCTTTGTACATAGACAAAATATTTCATTGTCTGGCTTAAAACGTGCTGCTTTTTGATAGAATACAAAAAAGTTGAAAAAATCGAGTCCGGCGATCTAGTTTTACAATACCCTTAGGTAGCTCTGTTATCGTGCCAAACTGTGACAAAATCTGTTTAATAGTGTTTAAGATAAATATGTGATATTGAAGCTTTGGTGTGTTTAGATAAATTCCTACATATCCGTAAAAACTGAATTGGGAACTTTTTTATTTTCAGATATTAAAAAGATATTGGTCCTTACTACCTACCATTTCACTATGTTCATTTAAGTACGTTTATTTTATCGATTTCAAAATTATAACTTAAACAGTCTGTGAGTTGATGAGTGGACCAATGTTTATATGATCTTTTTGTATTATTTATTGATCTAATTAATGAGGAATGGTGCCACTGTTTTCTGAATCGCTGTTTCTTCCTATTTTTTTTTTAATTTATTAATTGTTAAAAATTGATGGGTAAACATTTTTACTTAAGCTTTTATCAACGCGTTTGATTAGGTTTCACGAAAATCCATTCGAGGTTTTTGATCTTACGGCACTCCTCTATTAGAGCAGTACGGACAAGAAGTTTGCAGATTCGAGTTCAAATGTTCACATGAACGTAAACATAAAAACAGTATGCGGATGTTAAATATTCTATGACACAGCAATGGATCCTGGAATTCCTATTTGAATGGTTGAAGTACTTCTTAATAAACAAATCAATAGAACAATTGCAATAGGAGTTTTCTTACCTGATTCTTCACAAGGTCCATAATATCCGTATCGTTAATCAGTCCTTTCACTTTCAAAGGTTTAAATCTAATTCCTTCAGGATTTTGTGGATGGAACACCTTCTTACCGACTATGTTTTGGTTTGTGGTAATAGTCATGATTGATTCCTTGTTGAATTTACCACCATTAAGTTTTCCAGCAACACTAAAACATTGTTCAAGTTCGAATCTCATAGTGACCACTAACAAACACTGCACGCCATTCAAGGATCATACCACTTATAGTTTGGGACCTCATTACCATAGAATCATCTTATGTTAATTAATGCAAATTGGCCAGGTTAATAATATTAAAAGTCGTCTTTATTTATCTACATTTACATTGTAGTATAGCCAAATGTCAGACTTATATGGCGAAGTTTAGCTTGCTTCTAAGTTGGAGTATAAAAAAACTTAACCATATAGCCTCTACCAGATGTTCACAAACAGATTCGGTTTGTTACATCGAAAGTAAAAAAGAAATCTGGATAACACAAGGGATGAAAAAAGAAATGCTTGGTTACGTAAATTATTTGTTTGGGGGGTTAAGTAATATTGTTTTAGCTTTTTGTCGAAAGACATTTAACGAAAATATTATTTCCTCTCAGAATTCTACACTGAACATCAAAAATAAATGAACTTTTTTCCCTCAAGTAAGAGGGTTTTTACGTGAGTAGTAATTTGTGAACAAAACCTGAATAGTGATACCAAGACATTACTTTTTAACAAGCTTAGAACTGGATATTTCGATGATACCTGATCAGCCAAAGATGAAACGTATACAATTGTTTTGAATAACTTGAATAACGTTGTTGGTGAAATTGTTTAAACATTATGTGTCGTATACGATGTTACAATAATTTAGTATAAATATGACCAATGCTTTACATAGTTTTTTATCCAAATTAAAATTTAGTAAATAAGTGTTTGCTATAAGAATACGTAGCCAATGATAGGTATTCTGTGAAAGACTTTTAACAACCAGAAGATTGGACTTTTGAAAAGTATGTTCAGATATTGGACCAAAAGGATAGAATTTTGATAACGGACCATCTCAATTGAGTAGTTAGTAGTGAAGATTGATTGTGCAAAGGTGTGTTCGGCTACCACTATGGAAAATAAAAAAAACATTGATTGGCTAGGTAGCCGCGAGTTTTATAGACCCTGCATCCTCAAAAATTGGTAGCTGCTATTTTTGTATAAACATGGGCATTCCACCTGCTTAATTTAATTTAACATCAAAAAAGAACCACTGTACGGACTGCCGAATTTGCATCCAAGAACATACCAGATGTTTCAAATTCCTCTCTCACCAATGGGATCTCAGAAAAAAAAATCAAATCATTTGCGATGTCTTATTGATGAGTTCAATTGTTACTTCGCCAAGCCATTTGATGACGCAGATAGATGCCCTGCCAGAATCACTTCAAGAGGAAGCCTTGGACATTAAAAATAGTTCTGCTACCAAATACGATGTTGAAAAAATGGGTCAATCATTGTTTTGGATCAAAGATTTCTCAATTTACCCTAAAGAAAAAGCAGTTCAATTGTATTTACCGTTCTCAAGTACATTTTTGTGCGAAATGGGACTTTCTCCTATAGTCGCAATAAAAACGAAGTACAGAAATAAACTTGATATTGGTAGTGATTTGCTTTGTTCGATTTCTATGGTTAAGCCGAGAATAGTAAACCTCGTCAAATCCATGCAAGCTCATACGTCACATTCCAATAAGTTGGTACTACTTACCAAATACCTCTTGTATGGTTTTTGTATAACTTTAATCAGTAGTAAAAATATTGATTTTATTATGGTCGAAAGGGGGCACGTCCCAAATAAGTTACGGAACCCCTGTTTTAAACTGTTATTACTGAAAAAAAGTTCTTTCCTATGTAAGTCTTAAAATTATCAGATTGTCATTTGTTTTATACCATGTGCCAATTTTATGAATTGGAAATTGGTGTACACCACTTATTTTTGATTTTAATATTGTACATAACATACTACGGATTCAACTCAGCGATTGGAAAATAACATAATTTTTTTTTCTACTAATAACGAAAACATTGAAAATGATATAACTTTGGGATACTGGGAAAATATTTTTGAGCAAATAAAAGCTGTGCGCTGGGGTAATTTTAACCATAAATCTAATTTAAAGGAAAGTTTTCTATTAAATGATAAAATTAATTCTTATTTTTGGTCTTCTTGCAAATCGACATGTACAACTTTATCGACATATAGTCCAGTGAGGCGATTTTCTGCCGTAGAAGCTCGCAACCATGTCTTGAGCGTCCTGAGCGAAGAAAAGGACCTCTCTGTTGTCGTTACACTAACTGATAACGTAGCAGGGATACATAAGAACTTTTTGATTTTGAGATACATTTCGGTGTCGCAATTTTTAATAAAATTAGCATTCGACTGCGGAATATTCTGCACTTGCTGCCATTTTGCCATTCACACGCGATATTCATTCACAATTATTGAAGTTGGCCTATTATTCTCCAGGAGCGGTTGGTACTCGAATACGAGCTGCTGAACGGTTTCTAGATCTTCACTAATAATAATGTACTAACGGACATGCAGTGCTGCCAAGCCGAAAAACGCAGAATCAATAGTTTATACATATTTGCGTCTAGCTGTACAACCAGGCTTACGCAACCTTTTAATCCACGCCATCATCGATGCGCTCACAGATTGATCAGGGTTGGCAGGTATGGTGATTTTATACCAGTTTATATCCATTGCATTACACAAAAATTGCAGCTGTCATCGGGTCACTTACCCCAGTTCCTTCAAAAAAGTAGCATCTCCTATGTGTTTGAATCCAGATACCTTGGAAATTCCCTCGTTAGGCAATACTCTCTTTAAAAATCGATCTAAATTCACGCCCTGGATAGTAACGTTTCTCTCCGAATGCAGATTATCTATCTTGAGATTTTTGAAACGTTTCATGCCTACTATCTTGTTCTCTTTATCAAATCTCAGGATATCAGTGGCAAGGCTCAAACCATTGAGAAGGAATTCGCCCTTGACATCTGGAAATTCTTAGTATATTAGACCAAGATATCTAGAATTCCAGAGAAAACATGTATAGTAGACGAATTCTACAACATACACTTATTGTTGGAGATGAATGAAAAGGAGTTGAAAAAATAGCTTTTTGTCATGAATTCAGAAAACTAAGAAAAACTGCTTTGGCAGAAAATTGTAGAGCCTTAACATACCTCCAAAGTAAAACCTTATATGTTCAATTTACTGTAGTGGTTAACTTTTCAATCCAAAAATTCCCAAATTTTCCAATTTATTTTATAAAAAATTATATAACAAATCCTATATGGTTATGTGGTGATCAATATCCAGAAAGAATCTCATAAAAATGTTTAACATTTTCTGAAAATTTATGATTGCCACTTGTTTTTTTGTGGTTCATGGTAATTTCTTACGAGCTATCTAGCCACGTCGTCAATAGAGACAATTGGGCATATTAGGGTTCATCCAGCCTCTATAGCTTTTTTGTAAAGTACTTATCCTCATATTTTTTTAATATACGCGACAAGGTGATTTGTCCAACTTTGACATCTAACAAAAAAGCTACCCAGTAACATTTTTGGTATCTTTAGACGGAAGACCTTTCCATTTCCCCTAAAGAATATTATTATGTACTTTGTAAAGTCCGTCTGAACCTTTTTATAAAAGTCAAAGTAAGCCCGTTCATATCCTATGTTCGGTTTGAGGAATCAGCCAATAGAATTTGCGTTTGATTACGCATTCTGATAGAACGTGACTCTCGATCATAGAAATAAATGGAAACACTAAAGAAGAATTCGAGATCTGCAGATTAAGTGATGAGACTAGCAACGTAGCGTTCGATCTGGCAACACTGGAGGCGTCATGCTTGGAGAGGAAACAGTAGAATATAAGATCCGCCTTTAGTACAAGTTTGAACTAGCTCGAGTCATTTGGTTGCCCGTAGCGATTTTTTTTGTGAAGCAGTTTTTTCTATTTGTGCTTAAAAGTTAGTGGCACCAATTTCAAGCAACGGTGTGCTATCAGGTATTGCTTCAGACTTGGACGCAGTGTAACGAAAGCTCCTGCTAAACTTCAGGTTTTTCGACGGTTTAAGGCATGTTTAGAAGATAGAAAGTCGATTGAAGATGAACCACAAAGAGGAAGGCCTTCATCTCCAAGAACCGATGGAAATATCGACAAAATCCGGGATCTTGTGCGTTCAGATCGTCGGTTGGCAGTCAAAATGATCGAGGAAGAGTTAGATTTTACTCACACCACCATTCATCAAATCAATAACAACTGGGTATTTCATCACGATAATGCTCCTTGTCGCACAGCAATGTCAAAAGAGTTTTTGGCCTGCAAAAATATTTCTGAGGTTCCTTAGCCTTAATATTTACAGCTACAGTCGGAAACATTCAGACGCCTGTAACCGACCAACTGGAGGGTATTCAGTATCGGAGTTCCACCACTGCTGAGGAGTGGAAGAACCGTCTTCAGCGCTGTGTGGCTTCAGAAGGCAGTTATTTTGAGATGGTGACAATATGAAATTGTAATTATATTTGAATAAAAAAATTAAGCAAATCAGTCTGATCAGTTAATTTATGACCTTGTATACCTTAAGGAGCAAAACTATTATTGGCATTCCTTCGGAATGAAGTTTTAAGAAGTGTGATGTGTGAAAGTTTTAAGAAACTACATAATGACGAACCATTCTATTTAAAAAAGTGTTACAATATGGCTACCAGTTTTAAGTTAAAATAGTATTCATTCATCAATCTCATCAACCCAGTTTTCAACTGGCCAGCTTGACCCGTTCAAATATTAAGTGAACTAGAGCCTTTTTGAGAAGCATTGTAACATATACCTGATACAGAAATATTTCCGAAATATTTTATGTCCTCGAACAGTTGATCTCTATTAAGTAGGACATTCTTCGTTAAATCACCAATATCCATTTCGTTAACAGTGCCTGAGATTATTAAATTTGGAGCTGCTACATCGTCTTCAAATATTATGTCGTCGGTGAACGTTATATTAGCTGGAATACTTTGAATTTTTGTTTTGCTCATATATTTCGTTGGTAGGAGGTCCAGGTCAACATCATTCAAAAGACCCTGTGGATATTAGAAAAAATGTATGTTATATTCAGAGGTCAATTTTGTACAGTCACGTGCCGTATTTATGTTGTATATAGGATGTCTAAGATAAGCATCCTACGCATGGGGACCTCAATTCCTGTGGGAGGTTGAATCAGGAAAAAGTTGCGTTTTTTTGGGGCGTATTCACATGCAGTTGAGAAGCTTGTAAACATTTCGTGGCTAATTGAGATATGTGGGAAAAACTAAAATTTGGCCAATTTTTTTTTATTTTTTTCTGAATTTATTTTAACAAATATCAGAAACATATGAAACTTTTTCATTGGCAACTTTTATTCACTACATTATGATGTTTGTTAAGTTTTGAGCCTGGTGGTTCTTTTTTGAGAAACCATCATCAATTTTATTTTTTTATATGGTCCGAAAAAGGTACACAAGGTATCTAATAGCATCTTTTTATACGAATTCAACGATAGCGTCCTTATCTTGGACACCCTCTCACTGTATACTTACGTTGATGATAACCAAGTCTTTGAAGGTAGCATCACCAAAATTTACACTTTGGTTGAATGTTGTTGGCTCATCGATAAACCAAAGGCTTTTCGACATGTCTGTCAAATCACGCCCGTTCAAATCAAGGACACTGGGAATCATCGCAGATATGACGTTACCTGAAAATATTATATAATACATTTCCTCAACTTCCAATTTTTTCAAACGTTTACCTTTCACAAATAGGAATTTATCGTCTCTGTTTGAAGTAAATCTACATATTTCAGATATATTTCGGCCATGTACTGTATTTGTAACAGACGTATCTCCGTTAGCAATAATTCTGCCTCTGATAGTTTTTTTGTCTCTTATAATTTGTGGTTCTAAAATACCATTCTGCCAAATGTTATCCAAATCTAGATTTTCAACTTCACCATTGAGATTAACACCGTTCTCCACACGAGTATTTTCTGGAAATCAAATATGAAAGAAATTCATTTAAAATGTTTCTCGAGAAAACAAACATTTTGACAATGATACATTATATGAATAGCCGTTTTGCCACAAAATTAAGCTTACCAAATGAAGCAAAAGTGAAATCTCTGGCTTCATCCATTTTTATCGTATCATTAACCAGCTCTCCCAAGGTCACATCTCCAAGTTGATTCGAAGTAACATATGTCTTTCCAAGCACTTTCAACGAATCTAATTCATTCACACTTTCAACAACTATTTGCTCATCCACTGGTATCGGAAAGTGGCACTTCTCCAGGCCATTGAAGCTTTTTTCAAAATGAATTCTGTCTGCAGTTAAGCTGCACAGCTTTCTAGTATTAGCCAGATGTACTTCTTCATTGTCCAATTTATTCAATACCTCTTCTAAGCTTACTACGTTGAGGTGTTCTATGTGTAAGCTTTTGAATGATTTTTCTCCCAAAACTTTCAGTGGTAAGTGTGACTTAAGCGCAACATCATTTAAGATTTCGCTTATATTTACGTTGTTTACACGTCCGTCAACAGTCAGTTCTTCAATTTCAGCATTTTTGGTGTTGATATTGCCCTCTATAGTCGTCGATGCAGGGATAATTTGATCGCCATTTAATGTGATGACGTTTCCGAATGACTGTTCTCCAAGTAATGTGGTATTGGTGATTATGCTACACAAAAACGTTCAAAAGTATTATTTGTAATTGCGATGCTTTAGTAACACCTTATAGTACAACTATTAAGTTGTCAGAAAGGCGGTGCCTAAAAGATTTTTGGGAAGTTTCGAAATGTTAATGTCCCTACAGATGTCCATATGCTCTTTCTATACTGAGGAAAATTAAACTAATTATAATTTTAATTATGGCAATTAAAATGTGATTAAGAATTTCAGCATTCTTGACATTGATATTGCCACTAGAGTGGTCGATGCAGATATAACTTGATCGCCGTTTAATGTGATGACATTTCCAAATGACTTTTATCCAAGTAATGTGGTATTCGTGAGTATGCTACACAAAAATATTCAAAAGTATTATTAGTAATTGCGATGTTTTAGTAACACCTTATAGTACAACTATTTAGTTGTCCGGCTGCCTAGAAGATTTTGGGGAAGTTTCGTTAATGTCCCTACACATGTCCATATGCTGTTTCTATACTGAGAAAAATTAAACTAATATTAATTTTAATTAGGGTAATTAAAATGTAATTAAGAATTTCCATTAGTTTAATTAAACTACGATTTTTAAAACAGTTTGCTTGAATCTATTAAACTAGTTCAATTGAGCCAAAACGTAATCGCTTAATTCTATTTCTTAAACCGTTTACTTAGATTGAGTACAACAATTCATAAAAAATTGGTGAACTATTATAATACTTACTAACTACAAGCAAAACAATTGAATTATGGTTGTTATGTCGCAGATAAAAGTTTATTTTCTTGAAACAACTTTTATTGGGTCTGGACTGGATACATACTTATATATAATGTATAAGCGATACATTCAACAGATAAGTTATGTATTTTTCACCTCTGGTCGACCGCGCGATCGATTAGCAGATCCGCGAGCTGACGTGTTGTGTCCAGAGGTTCAAGCGTGAGTGTTTTTTCATTCATTGAGATGGTCCAAAAACAAAGCACAAGCTGCCAGAATGTGACTTGACGATATTTTGGCCCACTAACGGACAATGGCTTTCTTCAGTGGCTCAAGGCTGGTGTCTTAGCTCGGACCTTGCTCTCCAAAATGGCCCAGATAGAATAATCCATTGGATTCGTGTCGGGTGAATTCGAGAGCCATTATGTGGTCGAAATGAAGTTCAGAACGTTGTTTTCCAGCCATTTTTGGTTCATTCGCGCTGTGTGAGACGGTGCCTAGTATTGTTGAAATGTCCATGGTCTGCGGCCGAAATGTTTGTCTACCCACGGCTTCAAAGCAGCCTCCAGAACACTTTACCGATAGTACGTCGCATTTAGTTTGACGCCAGGCTCAATGAAAATAAAGCATTTCCATAGGTTGAATGGAGTTCCTCATGTTTGTATCTTATTTTTGCAGCTTGTCTTTCAGTTTGTCTTGAAGTTCATCAAATGATTTGATTGACATATGAAAGTACGAAAATAATCTTCCCTCACTGTTGCAATGAGTTGAACAAAACCTTGAAGGACCCAGAAATATGTCGATTTTAAAGCAACTACATGGCTAGTACTTTCTTCTTCCGCGCTGTGTCCATTTCAAATAGCTAGCCACAACTGAACAGTTAAAATACAGCAGCGCCGCGCGGCGCGCGCCGGACGAAACAAATCTCGTGTGAAAATATCACGCTTTTCAGGCGTGCGCCACGTGGCGGATCATATGAAAGGGGCGTTAGACATCAAAAATTTTGTAAGACTTGGATATTAATAGTTGATATCTTCGAATTAAAATGAAAACCTCCGAGTTTTGTAATCCTAACAAAAATCTATATCTTTTATTTTCATTAATTGGGCCCATATCGCATACTCTCGACCATTCATCACCTGTTTTTGTTAAAATGATTAATTGTCTTAAATGTACCTTTTCTACATAAAATAAATTTCCTAAGCTAATTAAACAGCTTAATAAAACAGATGTATAGTTTGCTAATTTCAGGCAAATTTGTTTAATACTATATTTACATTCAATTAAACTGGTTCCAGAAAATTTGGTCACTTGGAGTAGTTAAAAAATTCATTACAGGTAATGAAAATCTTCCAGACTGTTTATTTGACCACGCTTGTTCAGAGTAGAGTTCACTTAGCCACTTTGTATTCCTTCCAGTCAAGCCGTCCCAAAACTTTCCAGCTATAATTAATGGATCGTCAAACCAACAAATTATTTTCCGTATACTCATACTATACAAAAAATGTTGAAGATGCATATACCTTTTTACCGTGAAAAGAGATGAGACGGATTTTGAGCGTTGTTTAGCATAGCAAAAAAGAAATCAACATAACCTTAATTTTAACTTGTAAAGGTCATATTCAAACACAAGAAAACAACCACGACTTCTCTGTGTGCTTGAATAGCTACCTATCCTATTGTTTTCTGAATTCTCGAGCAACTCGTGTCACATCTATTCTAGCATAAACATATGAAAATGAACTTTCTCTGAAACTGACCTTGTGAGGATCATGGTCCCGTTCAACATGACACCTCCAAACACCTTCGTACAAGGTGATTTCACGAAATATTTCTTTTAGTATACTGATTCTCAGATTTTTTTTTCTGACAACTGCAATGGGTATATTCACCATTTTTGCAAATCAGGCAAACTACCCACCTATTTCTCACAACCTAATCATGGGGTTGCTTTGGTCCCATGGACACTTTTGTTCGGGAAGGCAAGAAATACATCATACTGATTTTTTGAACAAATCGCCTCGAACCCATTTATATATGCTTTGCTGCTGGTCCTTACTGGCTGTAGCTGTTTTTACGAACACGTTTTGTATCTTTAATGGGATTAATAAGCTGAGAGCCAACTTGCAAGCTTGGAAAAATTGGTTATTTTCAGTCGCGCCCCCAATACGTTCTGCTGGTGACACTGTGTGACAGAAACCTAGTAAATTACGACGCTTGTTCAACTGAAACCCGTCTTTGGTCAGGTTAGCCTTTTAACCACTTAACTGACGTTCTGCAATGTTAGTTGTGTTTGTAAACGTCACACCCATCAGTTCTTGTTATTTGCTTTGACTGCGATTTTAAGTATTGTGACCTAAAAATGACGTTTGCTGTTAACAATACGTCCAAATAAGTATATATACGTATATATAATATAGTTATAATCAGCTTGCGGTGATTCAATTTTTCTGTGCTGAAGGTTTGAACCATTGCAAATTCATACGGGAATGCAAGCAGTGTATGCAAACGCTTGTTTTGCGTATCCAACTGTCAAGGAATGGTGACGAAAATTTAAGAGTGGAAGAGAGGAGGTGAATGATAAGACTCGATCAGGTGCATTGAGTACTGGATCAACAAAAAACAGTCAAATTTTGTTACAGCAAAGTTTGTGCGCAATGGGTTCCTCGCCTTTTGTCAGAGGACCAAAAAAGCTTGCGACCGGGCTTAACTTTGCAACATCTCTCGGAGTACAAGAAAAACGTTAATTAATGACATTCATTCATCACTAACTGCTGACGACGAATCATTATTTTGAAGCATCCAGTAAGCTGTCATCGATGCAATGGAAACACGCAAATTGTTCGCCACCAAAGAAGTTTAAAGTTCAACCTTCTGCAGGCAAGACCATGTTAATATTTTTTCCGAAGATGAAGGACCGTTGCTCATAGAGTTTAAAGAACGTAGAGTCTGTATCAACGCAAACCTGTATAATGAAACTTTGAACAATCTCCATCAAGCATTAAAACGAAAATGTAAGGGAAGCTCTGACGCGGTGTCATTTTACTGCACGACAATGCTCGGCCGCATTTTGCCAAAGTAGTGCAAGAAAATCTACAACCAAAGAAATGGAGGATACTAGAGCATTCACCCTATATTCTCGATTTATCGCTGCGATTTTCACATCTTTGGGCCACTGAGTAGGCGTTGAAAGGTAAGCATTTTCGGTTGGACGAAGAAGTACACAATGCAGAATTGCTGATGATTTTGCTCTGCCCCTAACTTTTTTGAATGCGTGCTTTTTCAAAGCTCTGGGTGGTGGGCTAATATACCTATGGCCATCTCCAAGGACTAATCCGCACCTACAGGTATGCTGAAATTAACCAAAATTGTTCCAGTCGTTTTCACGTGAAACCGGAACATACATATATAATGTATACAAAAGTAAGTATATACATAGTTATGGAGCATCTAAACGGGCAAAATTTGTGATCCGGTTATATAGCCCGATATCTAGGATATATCAGTTATATCTTCATTATACCTTGGCATTATTGTCTGCAATGTGGAGACACATACCTCGATAGAATTTTTCATCAGAAGGACTAAAAAATCAGGCAAGAATGACTGACGATATAGTTCACATCGTGGCAGCTTACATTACTTACATTACATTAAACAGAATTCCAGTGATTTGATTGTAACATGACAGTATTACATAAAAATAGGTCGGAAATGTAAAAAAGTATGGCTGGGCTAGACAAATGTTGCCCGTTTAGCGCAATAAAGGAATTGGATCGCAACAATCCGCTGCAAAACAAAATCTGAAAGCAACACTCAAATTAACAAACCTTTTCCTAGCAGATATTCCTTCTACCCAATGCCTGCCTTGGATGATCTGGTTGCCCTCTTTCAACAGTACATTGTTCTCTAGTTCAACGACATCAATACCATTTATTATCGCAACTTTGCTTTGACCATTTATCTCTAACTCACCCTTGAATATCTTTCTACCTGTTATTATTTGTGGTTCGTTAGTACCACTGACTACTAAGGAGCTGCGGAAAAAAAGTAACTTAGAAGTAATATAATTGTAAAACTAGAAAATCGAAACTTGTGTATTGTTACCACGCGCATTCACCATCTTTAGCCCTTTGTTTTAGGGTTGTGACAATGACTGAAAAAATCGATGAACTAAAACTCTTTTTAAAAATATAGATTTTAAAAGAAAAGATAATTGATTTTTTTTGGCTTTTCCCAGTTCTGTTAACCTTGGGTAGTTCAAACTTCTATAAGTTCCTAAGAACATTCGCGGCACTTAGGCTTTCGCCTGTGCGGCTGTTTCGGTGTTAAAAAGTGTTAAAAAGAAAAAATTAAAAAATTCAAAATGCAAAACTGAACTTAATTTGAACTTTAAACATTCAAGAACTAAGAATAATTATTGCCACAAATGTTCAGCCTCAGTACCATTTAACATTTTACCTCATGGTCTCGAAACCAAAATAATTTCAAGTTTAAACCATAAACTGAGAGGAATTATTGCCATGAATTTTCAGTTTTAAAATAATAGTTTTTCCTTAAATACGGATTCGTGCTTTCTTGACCGTATTTCCCGCTTTGAAAAATAATCTTTCGGCTGGCACAGACATGGGCATGACAAGTCACAAGCTACTTAGTTATACTACATATATCGAGAGGATCTGTCTTGAGATTCAATAGCGGTACCACATTATGTAGGTCCATTCTGTATTTGTGACCATTGACGCGTTAGATACCAATACCATTGTTTTTTCATGGGCACAGTATACCAGCCATATTATGTTTTGTTTGTCGACGGCCGCTCCTGATAAACAGATAATTGTAAACTAGCTGTATTTGGATTATCATCATTTCTCATCTACCAATCCATTATTTTGTAACATTCCTACTTTGTGCAGGTGCATAAAAAATCGAAGCTAACAAAAACAAACAAACGTGGAACTGAAAAGAGGCTTACCGTATAGATAAGGAATTAACACTGTCCACGTCAATATCCTTAACATTGATGTGTTGTCGTAAGCTCAAGTGCATTTCTATCTCTGTGGAATTTAGTGGCAATCCCAAGCGAGTAAGCCTAGCAATAGATACATTGCTACCCGATGGCGTCATATCCTGGAAATACAGAAAATGAGAGTCAAAATGTTCAAGAATTTAAAACGCATAGAACTAAACCTAAAGGATTTTTTAGAAAGTCTTTTGGAAGATGCAAATGTGGACAGCGACTTTCAAAGGACCCTGCAACACGCTTATTGGAAGTGTTTTTTTGGTTCAACCTTGTTGAATTTCTTATATGTTTGTCTCGGAAACTTGAACAAATGTCTGAACATCCACTGGCTCTAAAACTCAACGGGTCTCAAGATATAGGTCTTCCAAATCAGTATAATGGGGCATCGGTCGTACTCAGCTATCTACTTTACGTAGAAGAGTGTTTTTGGTTAACTTCGCTAGAATTTTTTATGTTATATGTCTCGGAGCCCTGAACAAATGTCTCACTGGGAACAAACTCCAAAACTCAACGAGTCTCAAGGTATGGGCCATCTAATTATTAATGTATGATGGATACCGGATCTACTTTAATATCTTCTACTTGGAAGAGTGATTTTGGTTAATACGAATATGACTCAATTCATTAGTTGTCTTGTATCTCGGCACCTTGTACAAATCTCTTACAGGGCACGTCCCCCAAAACTCAACTCAACTTGGACGACTTTCATTTTGGAACCTGAGATGGAGTTTATGCCCATTGAGACATTTGCTTAGGATGCCGAGATACATTCTATTCCTTAAATTTAGACGGTCTATATCTTGAGACCCGTCGAGTTTGGGGCTGATGCCCATTGAGACATTTATTAGGGATGCCGAGACACGTAACGTATGAAGAATTCGGCAAATTTAACCGTAATCACCCTTCTCGCATTGCAGGGCCTTTTTTTGAATTCTAAACTTACCTTAGACTTGATCAGATTTTCCACAGTTACGTTTCCAATAACTACAACGTCCTCTTCAACATCAACATCAGAGTACACCAAAACTAAAGGGTCGAAACTCTCAAATTGTTTTCCAATCTTCCCCTGGAGGTTAATTACATCCTGTATTTCTAGATTCTGGAACGTCTTCAATCCAGAAATGTACTGACTCTCAGATCTGTTCTTCATTAATATATCTAGTTTACCATCATGATCAACCGAGATATTATTTAGATGTCTGGAGATTTGTAGACGATTGACGTCTATATCTTTGTGCAAAATGGAGTTTCTATTTGATTCGTAGTCTCTTCCAACTATGAGCATTATATCCTCTGGTCGTTTCCCTAAGATGGATGAATAAAATGTGTAAATATTTGACTCGGCAGTGCATATTCGGTATTTACAAAGGAATATTTTTTTATACAGGATGCACCAAAATAAGATGGCAATATCTCGGATGCGCATACGAGTAGAACAAAAAAAAATGCTCAGACAGTATCTTGCTCTACGCCAAAATTTCAAGCCTTCCAGATAACCCTGCTCACCACATCATCTTTAACCACTCTTCCAGAGAATTGCACAACAACGACAGAGGCTGCCCAATACCAGAACGTATAATTCGCCCCAATTTCAACCTAAGCAATCTTCAACATACATACACATATTAGTTATATGCTTCCCCATGCAGAATTTGCCTATCCGATATCAATATATCACTGAATAGTTATTCCAAGACAGAAACCAACCATATCATCACCCGGAACAAATACAGAGAAGAAAAGTTGACAACTAGGAAAACCACATGCTCATTTTTATCGATGCCTGAAAGTCGTCAAACCTGACTACAGCGGCAGAATTAACTGCTACCAAGCTAGCCCTAAGTATCGCAGAGTCAACCGCAGCAAGCAACATTCTTATTTTGTCTAACTCCATAAGTGCACTGGACGGAATCAAGCAACTATCTCCGCAACACCTCATCCTTGAAGCAATAAAATAATATCTACAAAATGAAGATAGTGAAATTCCTGTGGATAATGTTACGCGCAGGAATAAACTGAAGTATAGAAGCTGATCGAGCGGTAGCTGCTGCGGTGAATATCGAAATAATGACCACACCACAGCTAGCATGAGATACCTCGAAGCGCCATCTACCGCACTAGAATCGAACCATTGTAAATCGCGTACCGCTGCTATTAGACGGAACCGTCGCAGTTCCCGTTTAATAGCCGTGCCGCTAAATGGCTGATGAGTCTTACAGAATACAGAGGGAGTCGGCTAGCCATTAAACAGGTAAAAACAAAATGACGTGCCTTCGTCCGCCCGACCAAGAAAAGAAGAGACAGCCAGCCATGGACAGCTGTTTCGTGCTTCTTAACGTCTTATCAGCATGGTATAGGCTTGGTTTCTTATCTCTGGACGAAGAAACGAAAGCATTACATTGATCCTCTATACCGGAGGTACGGTTTATCAGCATGAGATACCGCGAAGCGCCATCGATCGTACCAGAATCGAACCATTGTAAATCGCGTACCGCTACTATTAGTCGGAGGGACGAAGGCATCTCATTTTGTTTTGACACCACATCTAGATTCATTGGGCCTGGCAAGATAACACGTCTATAGTACCACCAAATTGCGGGAGTATATTTCAACTGTAACGCAACACCTTATGGTGTATTTTTTAATTCACCGGTTGAGCAACCGGTGCCACCGGTGGACCAGACATCTGTCCTTTCAATTCAACCGGTTGCTGCCATCACCATACAAAGCTGTCAACAGTGTCAACCATAAGCATCAGTGGTGGAATCAACCGGTGAATTAAAGAATCCACCTTTATTTTACCCAGAAGAAGACGCGACCAACTGATTATTTTCAGTTTGTTCATTGGTGACTCATAGACTGTAGGCTCTTAGGGCCGTATCGTCATTCGCTCCTACAATTGTAGGACGCCTGGATGGCCTCCTTGATTTTCATAGTTTTCTACTTTTCCGTGTCAGCGCTCTATTCTGAGGTTATGTCAGAAATATCTATTTCCATCAAATTGTTCATGCTTTTGACTTAAACTATGTTTTATCAACCTGAAATTTCCTACAATTCACGAGCAGAGATCGGCTTGTAACTCTGAGAACCTGCATGTAGAGTACTGTCATTAGTAAATCTGTGGATGGGATTGACCGTGAAGAAAAGAAGGTCGTTGATATCTAAGAGGAACAATGTCGGAGCCAAGAACGATCCCTGAGGAACACCCGCGTTGATGTTATGCGATGAACAGGAGAACCGTCAATTACGATGGATATCTTGCGGTCAGAGAGGAAGTCAACCACCCATTTGCAAAGTTTCTGGGGAAGACCATAGGATAGAAGTTTGTCATAAGAGGGCAGCTAGCCACTACTGACCGAACGTTTTTGTAATATCCAGAGCAACGACATGGGCCTCACCAAAAGACTAGATGAGTTTACTCTAAACTTGAGTGACGTAATCTACGAGGTCTCCTGTGGATCGCTGGAGCCGGAAACCATACTGCCTGTCGCTTATCGAGCTGTGACGTTCTACGTACTCCAGAAGCTCCCGATGGGTTGGAAATGTGCAAATTTACAGTTTTCTGGAAAAATGCCGGAGTCGTAAGATATCTGAAAGAGACGCGAAAGAAGTGACTTTGATACTAGATTTAGTATACTAGAGTACTGGTTCCGTGATTTTGAAAATAATAGTAAATCTAATAAAAGATATTTATTCAGCGACCCAAAAGACCGCTTACTCAAGATTTAGATTTTCGTCGAAGTTTTTGAGGAATGTATTGTAAATCGATAGGAACAGCTTAAACGTTATTACCAGAATCGTCGATTGCGAAAGTGAAACCAGCAGTGGTAGAGTCTGGTAATATCTCATACGCTGAATACAGTTGCTCATCTCTCATTGGTTGTCCACAAAGACCACGCCTACACCTTGTTGAGGAGTCGTCAAATAACGCGAAATAGCTGTCCATGGTCGGATACCTGTGGTCGGACGAGCGAACGCTATATATATTACAGGTTTGCAGTATTTGGTTTAAATTGTTCATAAAATAGTTTGCCATAGACATCTGGTCTCGATGAAAAAAACCTTCTAACCTGAACATGTTAGAGTCTCCAAATTTTCTGCAGTCAGATGATCGAAAGTACACGTTCTGGCACTACCAAAACCTCCAGATTTCCTAAATGCATATTTGTTCAAAGTAGGTACATCCAAATCGTTAATGAATCCGCCAAGTCTTATGCTGTTAGCCTTGATAGTTTTGAACTTATCTGATCTTTTTTTCTTATTTGCTGTTTCCTTGTCCTCAGTCGCTTTTGAGGAATTTGAGAGAATTACTTTGTTTCTGAAAAGAGCATTACCATTTATGTTCAAGCTATGTAGCAGTATTTTTTTATTTCTATGTAAAATTCCATCGTTGTGATTGATCTTCTGGGGATGAAAATATTCTTCAATCCTCACGGTGTCAAAGTTCATGTTGCTTATTTCGAATCCTTCGTTTACGTTTATAGTGTTGGCGATTAATGTTGATATGTTGACACCATCAATAAAATTAATATTCGGACACACGACTGAACCTTTGTTTTCAAGTACAATCTCATTGGCAGTAATGTTATTCAATACAACTCTGTGATGATTCTTGTGCAGGAGTAGTGCATCGAGATTTTCATTGATTTCGTCTAGTTTCCATTCGTACTTTTTTAATTGGGAGATTACATCATCTAGCTCGGAATTACTTTTCAGTGACTCGCTATCTTCATGTACACCCTAAAAATATAAATCGACATTATTATTCACTCTAGTTACCACGAAGGCAGCGTCAGAAAAATATTTAGTACCTGAAGCTATACAGGAAGACAAAAATAGGAAACGACTACATGGAAAAATGAGACGAAAATAGGTGTTTCAAATGTACTAAAATGCAACAGCTTACGATCCTTATAATAGTGACATCCGAAGCTGATCAAAAACAGTTTTCTGTTCTTATTTTTCAGAGAAATGCTGAAATAATATTTGTTCTAGGGGAGCAAAGAGAGAGGTGCTACCAAGTTACGAAAATATTGTGCAGTATGTTAGGTAAAAAATCAAAAGAGCATTTTCGTAAATTCAGTTCGGATACTGTAGAGTGTAGATTTACAAGATACTTCTAAAGACAAAAGGTGACCTAGTTGCCAGGCTTCGCCACTCCATCTGCACTACCACTATTAGTGCGCGCAGTACAAAATGTTCAAAGATATGGGAGTAAAATCAATATAATAACATTTTACTGTCAAACATTAGTGCAACTTTTGGCCACTATCTTTCAATCGCAAGTAATTAGTTATTGCATTTCAATGCATTTGAGTCAACTTATTTTATTTTATACATGCATAGTCACTTCTACCCTTTTATTTCGGCACCTAAAAACTTGTTGAGGTTGGTCTAGTACCCTTGAGACGGATTAGAGTGCGAAAAAGCTAGTAACATCTCAAAATAGTCCTTAAATATTTTGAGGCACTTTTTCCAAATATGCAGTTAACATTTCTAATTTTGGCTTCAAATTGCAAATATATCGTTTTTTAGGGTTTTCGAGTCAATCTATCAATCAAATTGTGCGAAATATGCCAGTTTGTACCCCGAGAAACAATATGTATGGCAATCATCCGTAAACAAAATCTCAGGGCATATTAGGAAGTATTGTTATTGTAAACTTTTGTTTTCAATTGTCTCTCGCATTAGAATATGCATTGAGCGCGTGATTGATCAACACTCAAAAATAATATTTATCATTACAATACCCCCTAAGATGCTTTGGCAATTTGTGATTCAGTATTTGAAGGATATTTAGGAAGATACTTCCTGGTATAAGTATAACACTAAGGAGAAAACGTAATATCGGTTCTTGAGATGGATTTCACCAATTGTGAAAAACAGATTCTTTCACTAAAATGTATTTTTTTTTGTCTTTAAAATGGGCATTGCAGTGTTGCATTTTTTTAATTCGAAATTTAGAATCACACTTTTTTATGGACAAAGATCGGATAGTATACTTAGATATTTGCTTTGACATGTTTTAAACGAATTAACTCTTGCAAATGAGCGGAGCTCTGGTTTCCATTTTTAAGTATCAAAACTACTCTCGTAAATTACATGTTTGTGTGGTTCGAATTTTCTGGACTCATATATGGAGCTGAAGTAGTTCACCTCTACACAGAGTGTTTCAAATTCAATTTTCACCATTGGGGTCTCAGGAACTGTAGGAGATACGAAGTCGCTAAGATAGGGGCAAAGTTGCGTATTAACTTTATTTTTGCTCATGGACACCATATTGGATTTTCACGCAGATGAATAGAGGTCTGATTTCAAAAATGTCTAATATGTCAAACAATGGCATTGCCAAACTTTAGTTAGGTATTTCAGAAGATGCTCCTAGGTAGGCCGCCTTGACATTATCTGATTTCATTTCGTGCCACACGTCAAATTGAACAATGAGCAATGTTCCGCGAAGAGTCAGGCTTTGCCTACAAAATAACGGACAGTTCGATCAACTCCTATGAGTTATCTCTGCTTATTTACGATTATTGTTGTTATTTCCATCAATAAAATTTTTCATTTAGTGTTCAGGTTTCACCATACCTTTTCATTTCCTTATAATTTTCATGGAACAAGAAACTAATGGCCAAATAAGGAAATAGATCACCAAATTTGGGACTGAAAAGTCCATTTAAATGTAAATATATGAAAAAAAAGTTGGTTATGGAAGTCGAAAGAAGAAATGTCGAATTGGAAATTTGACTATGCCATCTTGTAGTGTGCAATTTATTTTGAAATTCCATTTCAAACTGTCAGAAAAACAAAAATAATTTTAGGATAAATCTGGTATGACTAACAAATGTCAATCTGATAATTTCAAAGCCTAAATACCTAGAAAAATTTTGCTTTTTTGAAATAACCAAGGTTTGGCAATGGCGATATAATGACAATTTTTGAAATCAGAATTAAATACTGCCATCGGTGCAAAGATCTAGTATCGCATACTACAAATAAAGTCAGGAAAACTTTAAAACGATTTTAGAATAATTCGGTTTTTTCGTCTCTCCCTGGAAGTACTTTGAATTTAGAATCTTTCTAAGCGGCATTTTGTTGCTTACCTAAATGTGCAACTTTGCCCCTAATTAAGCGACTTCGTATCTCTTACAGTTTCCGGATCAAAATGGTGAGGGTCGAATTTGAAACACTCTGCATATAAAGGTAAGTGTCTGACCAGTCTGTCAGCATCACAACAATAATATGAAGAGACGGAAAAATTGTACACGAGGAAGGTTATAGGCATGGCTTTATCCGGGAGCTGATCGTCGATTTTGCAATAAATATTCGCGGCCAGTACCAAAATCTCCAGCGTAAGCATCAAGCCAGCAACAGCGCGGGCCTGCCCACAAATTACCGAAATAAATTAGATACGTCACTAAGCTGTTCCCGCCAAGAAATGTTTTGCTCCCCTTAGTGTGGATCGCAAACACAATGGCGCTCAAGTCACTTTTATTTCAAATCGCCACCTACAGAGGGCGCTGTATCATCGGGAATTTGAAAGATAAATTTTTTCATGAAGGCGATCAAGGCGCCATCCGGCATCCGCCATCATCAGAGCCATCATTGTGCATCATTCATCGAGCGTCAGTTTGCAATTTTTTGCGCTAGAATTTTTAGCGATTTATTGGTGTTATACATTGGATTTGGATTAGTTTTGTATCTTATAATTTTCCCCATAATGGAGGATTACGTGCCAGCCCAAAAAACAAAGGAGTGCTGTGTTCCGAACTGTGTCAGCAGGCAGAGTAAATGACATCGTTTCCCCAAGAGCGATACGGAGGTTTTTCAAAAATGTCTGCAAATCATTAACCCCGCGGATCACAAAAGACTTACATGGGAGCAAATGTACAACAGGTATTACGTTTGCGATGATCATTTTTCTCCCGAATAATTCCAATCCTTGCCTGTCAGGGACAGGTCAGCGTACATACTAGTACGTTATTTATTTAAGTAATTTCGAAAACTTTGTTCTGATGTTTATATTCGTTATGCTACACTTCTTTTCTAAACTTTTAAATTGCTTTATGTAAAATAAAATAAGTAAAAAGTGGCAGTGCTTGACTGTGTTACCTTGTCCGTTTATTACTTCTTTAGATGTTTATACATTTTATTCAGCGTCATACTAAAGTTATTTTTAACAAATATATATGTCATTTTCCTGAGAAATATTTTTTTAGAAAATGACATTTTTGTGTAAAATTTACGTCTGGTAACATCATTGAACAATACTCTTAAAAAAATAGACAAACGCTGTAATAAAAGCGCCAAATAGTATTTAATAGCTTTAGATGGGAGTTTCATATCTAAAAGTATTCTGTATCCCACTAAGCTTGTGTCCGTCAAGCGATACCGATGTTTTATTTTGTACAAGCAGTTACCCACGACTTCGTACCCTTGAAACGTTTTACTATCATGAAGCATGGTTTTCACGTAATGCTATAGACTTCCGATCACGTTTCGTATGTTTGATAGCATTAGTAAATTGACAGCCAACTTGCTTGAGAAATTTGGTTACTTTTTTAGTGGCGCCACCTACATGTTCCGTGGGGCAGATGGCTAGTAGACTGAAAAACTGAATGAATCCTGGCGTTATCCATTCTATAGCTTATCAGATTTAACGATATCCGCATAACAATATCTTAAAGCACTTACTATGTCACCTCTCCTTTGTTTTCCTAGGACACTGTCATCATGCATGACAGTAAATTTTTCCAAGCTATTCTGACACCAAGACAGCATTTCGTCGTGTTCAGTCCTTATCTCATTCTGGAATACGTAACTCATTTCATACAAATTAATGGACGTAGCATTTCTTCCCAATACCACTGAAATAGGAAATATTTGAAACTGTTCAAAGTACTCTTTATATAATATAAAATTTATTGAGTCAAAAAAGTTCAGTTTCCAGAAGTATTACCAATAAGTCGGATTGCTTTCCTCTGAACTGCAACAATGAATATCATTTAACATAGTATGTCCATTACATGTTGACGGATACAAATTCTGTAGGCTAATAAGGTACCAAGTACGCTTAGACGTTGGGTGAAAATTTTTCTACCGTTACGCATAAAGTAATTTGTTAGCTTTTTAGAATAATCAGCAACTAACAATTTGCAAGGGCGTGCCCAGCTCAAAACGGAAGGGGGAGGCAGCTTCAAAAAATTTCTTGGTAGTTTCGCAAATCATATCTGCCTCACTATACTCGATAATTTTTTTCTATTTGCATTTCATTCTTATCCATTTATACAGAGTCTTCTACGATGATTGAGAATTCAGATTTATCGAGAAAATTTCTAGGATTACTTTTCTAAAACCTTCATGCAAATAAAAATTAGTCATTTTTGGGTAATATGATTTTCTCAAATTCTTGGGCGTACTTGACCCTCGTAATTCATACAGGGTGCTCCTTTTTCAGTCAAGTCAATAGGCCAAGGAAGTCAGTAATCGCGGAAAGACTTCAAATGAAAGAATGATTTTCAGATATAACATAATAGGTACATCTTTATAATAATCATGCACTCTATTACAGACAGAAAAATAGAGTTTTTGCTAGTCGGTCCTGTTGCGATAGGGTAACTTGGTTTTTTGACATATTTTGAGACATGGTCAAGAGTCTATTTGAACGAATCAAATATATAATCTAACAAAAGTCATTTTTGTGTATCACAAACACAACAATTGTACAATTCAGAAATGTGGGTTGCAATATGTTGGCTAGAAATGTCATAAAACTCATTTGATCAGGCTGACTAGCTAGACGAGAACCCGATTGTGGAAGAAATTGTATAGAAGGATTTTACAAAAAAACTATGTATATTTTAAGAAAGAATGCAAAGACCCATTATCTCGAAGTAAAACATTCGTAACCCTTGTTATCAAACTTCAAAGTTATAGGTCCACAGAAGAATTGTAGGGGATGATAAGACCTTCGAAATGAGAAGTAATAGGTATGCCCAGTTCGTCGCAACGCTTAATCGGTTCTTGAAAAAGGTCGTTTGTTTTTTGCCGGAAAGTGCATGAGAATAAATATGAAATAGTAATCTGAAGTTAAAGTTTTTATAAGAAATTAATCAAAAATACTCAAGCTATCCAGCTACGTAACTGCTGCAACAAATCGGATGCATGAAAGCTGTATTTATTTGTTATGGTAATTTTTTTGTTTCACTAATATGCTCAAAATCAATGATTCGTATAATTAAGTTTGATAGATGAAACTTAGATTTATACGGATAGCTTAAATTAATTTATTTATACTTTACAAACCGCATCGTGCAACTTAAATTCCATAAATTGTATTTTTGAAACATTTAAAAAAGTTTATTATTAATACAATAATAATAATAATAATAAATTTTTGGGTATAGGGCGATATTCATGAAATCGGAAACAACCGGAAACCGTTATAGTTTAAGCACGCACTATCATAACTTTTTCAGTGACCGATCGCTTCAGTTTAAATGGGACACCCTTTATATGATGGACATTTTTGAGGTATGTGGGAAATATGTAGAGAGTAGTAGTACCTCGTTAGACAGGAAAGCAATATTCCAGATTTTCTTATCTGGGTTTTAAACAATCTGAGGATTTTCTGACATAAGTAATTGCTACAATCGAAAAGGCAGACGTTGCTAATGCTAAATTTTGTCGTAGATAACCTTTCACAAGCCTTAAGCTAATTGTTCGTAGATACAAAGTTTACTGATTAATTGATCTCTGTTCTTTAGTTGATCAAAACGGGATAAAATTTCAAAACTCGCAAACCTATGAGGGGGTAGTTAAATGAAAAAAAAATGGTAGTATCGAAAACAGAATGAACAGCAAATCAGTATAATTCTTGTAAGACCGACTTTAACTTACTTTACCAAGACAAAAATAATTCGGTACATATAAAAGTGTCTAGTATGTACGGTTATGACTTACAAATTATGTTTTTTCCTTGGAAGTGGTAATGACGTATGGCCATAATATCAGTTGGTTTTTCTCGTGGACTCGTAACTACATTCTTCTGACGAAAATTCCATCCGTTGTAATGTAAGGCTTTGACGCCATCCAATGTTAGGACTAGTAAAACTATATCACCGTTCACCTAAGAGGTAATCTATATTAATACAACATTTTGTTTAATAAACCCTTGCTTACCATAATGGGTTCTATTTGCTTTATACCATTCATCCTTACAGTTTGAAAGGGAAGGAAATAGTCTTCTATGAATTTATATATGACAGATGTGGTATTATAAGACTTGTTTCCGGAAGTGTCTGCAATTAAAATTTAGAGTTTCTAGGCGAAAGATCAAAATAAGGTACTGACCGTTCTTGTAGAGATTAGCTGCAAATATATAGTGACCTTCTTCAGTTCCAAATTGAACTTCAAAATGCTGTATGTCAGAGCAAGCATAGGTGAAAATCCTCTGGAATGGTCTGTATAACTTTAGTTCCTCGTCATATTTCAGGATTTCAGAAAATATTCTGTCAGAATCTGTAAAGCACGATTATTTTGAATCAATGTCTTACCTTACCTCTGGCGTTGATCTTGATGTAGACGTTTGGGTACTGATCTTCTCACTTCCTAGTGAATTTGAAGTCACCTTATCTGTTGACATGCATAATGTGGAGAATTGTCGACAGTCTCGTTAATATAACAAGTAGGCTTACTCTCAGAAAAACACGTACGATAGAGAAATTAAATGGATCAAGTATGTCAAACAGGTCCATTTAATTAGTCCAGGAATTTTTTTCTCTTGGCTATGGATGTTGTGATTGTCCGTAGGTGGTAGACGGTATCTGACTGTCGAACGCGGAGGTACCACCCGGCGGATCTCGTAGGCGGAACCAAAATGTGTGCATGTTGCATGCACATGTGTTCCTTCACCAGAGTCCGTGTGGCGTTCCCCCTTTCCCCTGTAGCCCCCAATAGCCTCACTGTACCCAATGGGTGTTTTGGGCTTAGGCCTTCGCGGTAGTTGGAGTATAAAAAAAAACTATTTCCCTGCGCTACCCGCAGTTACCGTCCATCTGACAACGGTTCCCCTTCCCATATCGTCAGACGTGACAGCACCCAACGAAGCACCGACGCAGTAATTAGACGGACCTCAAAAGAATCCTGGAGAAAATTCTGTCAATCCATTAATCACATTGCTGCTACAGCTAGAATACACAGAATCCTATGCAAAGGTACTAAAGCAAGATTGGGCTCTGTCTGATCCTTGGGAGGTAATACTACTTCCGAGGAAGGCACTCTGAGGCTTCGGATGGATACGCTCTTTACCGGTTCCACAGTAGCGCAATCAATCATAGAGTGCATGAAGTTGCCCAGGCGCTTAGGAGAAGACTAGCGCACAGCAAGGGAAATTGTCACCTTCGAAAAGATGGTAATGACGATTGATTCGTTTGCTCTATATAAATGCCTGGGTCTGGACGGTGTATTTCCGATCATGTTACAGCATTGGCGTGATTCGGTTGTTCCTCACCTGTTTTTAAGGTGTTTCGAGCATGTGTCGCCACGGGCTTCACACCTAGAAGGTGGCGGCAGGCTAAAGTAGTATTTATTGGTAAACCGGGCAGAGCTGGATATACTGACCAGAAGGATTTTCGTACGGTTCGCCTTTTCATCTTTTGTGCTTAAGACATTTTGAAGGATAGTTGACATATCTTTGAGGGATTGCCCGCTGGAAGGGTGTGTCATTCACTCCAATCAGTTTGCATACCAAGCGGAGAAATCGACTGATTTGGCTTCACACAATCTGGTCGGCAGGCTGGAGAAGACTCTAGATTAGCAAGAAGTGGCACTTGTGGCACTCGTGGCCTTTTTGGAAATTGAAGGTGCATTAATTTGCAATACAACGCACTCTATCAGACATGCCTTGGTTGGGCACGGGGTTGGAGCAAATCTAATAGATTGAGTCCTACCTACTCTGGAGGGTCGGGTAGTAAGAACTATTCTGAGTGACGTAAACTGCAGCGTCACGGTAGCTCGGGGCCGAGTTTTGTCACCCCTACTGTGATGCCTCATGGTGAACGAACTCGTCAGGCTCAACAGTGTGGGTGTTAAGGTACAAGTATATGCTATGCGTAGTAGTTAGTGGTCGTTTTTATAAAACATTCTAGATACTATGCGGGGCGCTCGGCGCACTGTGAAATCGTGGTGTAGGGAAGTCGATCTTTCTCTCAACGCTGAAAAGATCGAGCTGTATTCACTAGGAGAAGAAGGCTTGACGAGCTTGTTTTGCCAACCTTCTTTGGGATTAGATTCTATCCCAATCATTATAATATCTAGGAATTATCCTGGACTGCAAACTCAACTGGAGAGAGCAAGTTGAATACAAGGTTAACAAGGCTTGTAATTCAATGTGGGCTTGCAGAAGTGTTGTCGGTGTAAGGTGGGGGCTTAAACCCAAAGTGGTACACTGGCTCTACTTGCCGATAGTACGTCCATCTCTCTTGTATGGCTCTCTGGTTTGGTAGCCTTGCATTGGAACTGGGACAACTAAGGCCAACTCAATAAAATTCAGCGTTTGGCCTGAATCAGTAACACAAGCGCAGTGCGAACAACGCCATTGAGTCCAATGGGAGCTCTGCTGGATCCCCCACCGTTGGATATAATGATCCGCGGTGAAGCGAGAGTAGTCACAATCGACTGTGGAGTCAGGGCAGCTGGCCCTTCTTGAATCCTGTTATCTTAGTCGAACGGCAAAGGGAGGATCCTGTCCTTCTGAGCAGGAGTAATCTAATCGTCCCTAAATATCGCTTCAACCGCAAGTTTAATGTGGAATATCCAATGAGGTCGGTGTGGGACGCCGGTAGCCAGAAGTTCTTCGGAGTGAGTGGGCAGGTCTGCTACACGGACGGCTCGGTCACCGAAGAGGGCTCTGGCGCCGGAGTCTCTGAGCCTAGAACTAGGCTAACTCAGCCTCTTGGTGGATACACCACTACTTTCCAGGAAGAAATCTGCGATTCTGGCCTGAGTATCTCTCATTTTGGAGGGGGGAGGGCCTAGGAGAAAATTTAAAATCTTCTCCGACAGCCAGGCTGCAATGAAGGTACGCAGTGGCTGAACAGATTACTTCAAGCCTTGTATTGCAATGCAGGGAGGCTCTGGATTGTCTAGCAGCGAGGTATCCGGTATCGTTAGTGTGAGTACCGGGGAACGCTGGGCATCGGACGCTCTGGCGAAGACAGGATCAGCTCGTTGGTCCTGAGCCAGATTTAGGGGTGCTCGCGCAAAGAGTTAGGAGGAAAATGGAGAAGTGGATTGCAAGACAACACTCTCAGAAATGGAGAAGCATCTCCAGACATCCTGATCAGGCATTTCAACTAATTGTAGAGCCCAGCGCTAAGGATGGACGTTTAGGCTTATCTTTGCATAGAGCCAAACTAACGGGTGGCTGAGGATCCCTTGTGTGAGCGACGTCAGGTAGAGGTAGATATCTCAGTTATGTGTCGCTGTGAGGCTCTGGCACACTATATTGTGATCCATCACTTTGGTGCCATACTCAACTTTACCAGAATGAGGTCTAGGGAATGTCGAGGTGCACAAGCGCTCGATTAAGTGGCCTATGCGCTGGCTCTTTACAATGGTTGTTATGCCTCTAATTTCATGATTCATTCATTCGTTCACCACCACAGTATGGACAGAACAACATCTTTCAGGGTAGTAACCGGGACCCTTAAAAATATTGAAGTGCCAATGCTCGCTCTATAGGTTTGGTAGGTAGATGACAGATACGTAGCAAGCTGCTACTAATAAAAGTGAAATACAGGAGCTTTAATGGTTGCGATATCAGCGAAGCCTGACCAATTTCTGATGCAACAGTGTGATGCTTTGAATGTTGTATTCACCATATGAAGGATGTGGCCATTCAATGCCAGTTTTGCGTCGGAAATGAAACCCAAATTCTTAAAAGTCCAAGTCCGCTTTAGCAGGTTGCCATCAATGTTATAATTATTGTATAGTATAGAACGTAGTTTTCTAGTAAATGACATAACCTTGAATTCCGAAATATTAATACTAAGTTGATTGTTAGAGTAACATGTGAATATGAATTTTACGCTGTTTTGCAACAGAATGCAGTCATTGAGATTACTAATAACAGCATAAATGTTCAAATCACCAGCATAAAGTAGATGCATGCATGGCATAGGCAGCGACAAATCATTGATGAAGATTATGAACAACAAAGGTCCTAAGTTGGACATCTGATGTGCAAGAACAAGCTGCAAGCACAACACAATATAGCACACCGAGAAGCGGCCAACACATCATGGTACGTACCAAATCCAGTGCTATATGAAGACCTAGGACAAGTGCCAGTGTTGGAAGTAATGATCAGAGCGCAGAAGTTCTTCAACAACACCGAATATCGCGAGAACCAGCTCATCAAGGCAACTCTGGACACCGCGATGATTCAAGCAATATCGGCCACCCAGCAACAAGAGGTAGTCCCTGTTCTCATCAGCGGCCGCGCCGCGCTGGACATCCATCGCACGGCACAACAGCAAGGAAGCAGCGCAGGGTAAGCAGGCGGTGCGGCACCGTCTTCCAATATAAAACGGTGTTTTAATAAATATACAGGGTGACTTTGAAGTTGAGTCATTAATTTTCAGATAATGATTGTAGAAGGAAGATAAACCAAAATATGTGTGTAAAAATAAAAAAAAAATTAAAAAAAAATTTTACCTTGTTTTATAAAATATCCTCCCGACAAGTATTTCAGTGCGGACCTGTATTTGATCGTGAGGTCCCCTGTGAGGTCATAAGTCACCTGATTCACGAGCCCGTTGTACTACATTAACAAAGGCACGAGGGGTTGGTTGCACTCGATTGGGAAACCGATCCGCATAAACATGTGCCATTTTTTATTTCGTTTGAGCCACGCAACAGACACACGCGACTGAAACTGACTGTATGTATAACTGAACTGAATTGTAATCGTAAAAACATCGTTCCAAATTCTTTCGCTTTTTTGTTTCCGATGCGATGAACCGTTGTTGCCAAACACGAACACATGATATTATTGAGACAGGGCGGTACTCAAACTTCCAAAGGGCTATAACTTTGTTACTTTAATTTTACCAGAAAAATGGTAAAGGAAAAAAACATTTCTTTTGATCAGATCTACACACTGTTAAAATAAATGACTCAACTTCGAAGTCACCCTGTATACATTGTGTGTGATCAGTGCTATTACGTTATCAATTACACTACGTGGCCGCGCGGGGCATATTGAGCCTACTAGGGCGAGCGAAAGTTACCTATACGAAACGCACATGTAAATTTCAAAATTAGAATTCACAATTTTTCTTCAAATCAACACCACTCTATTTCACGAAAATCAATGCTTCAATGTATCACATTCGGGATCTATTACATTCTGTGGCCGGGGCATGTTAATCCTACCAGGGGGAGCGAAAGTTACCTATACGAAACATACATAAAAACTTCGGAATTATATTTCTCAATTTTTCTTCAAATCATCACTA